TTTGCCTAGCTATTTCATTAAATGACCATTCAATCATCAGTTAACAGAAACGACATTAAACAATGTAACTCGTGTAAATTGCTTCATTGAACCTGCTTCAGACGAAACGCAAGACGCCCCTCTCCACCAGCGATGTCAAGCTTTAGATACACTCGGTGTTCCACTCCAACCGCTCACCCCCGTTCTCTCTATCTTCTAAACCAAACAAATACTACATGAACGCATATCCATCCTACACACGAACATATCGCCACTCGGAATGATCGTTGTTGAACCCTGACAATTCAGTATATTTCTATTCTCCATAACCATTTCATCTACCACCGACTCGCCGCGGGCACCACACACCACGCCACCACACAACGCACGCACACGGCACGGCGCACGCCACGCACAGCACTCAACATCACACACACACACACACCATCACAACACCACGCACAGCACATTAGCACGCACTTCACACATACACACGGGTGTGTTTTTGCTCCAATGCACGCGGTATATATGCATACATGTTTTAACTGTGATCAACTCTTTTCAAAATGTGTCAGTTTGGTGCCCGGGGCGTTTCTGACGGTTCTTCTATCAGCGGCCCCATTTTTCTTTGAGGTGCCGATATTTGTCACATGAATTTATTATTTGTTAACTCTACACCAGTTGTTTGCTTTGTGACGCCCCAAAAAATCTAGGTCAAGTGGTAGCTACGTACACTATTCAAAATCCTATATATATTATATATATACGTATAATATATCACGCGCGTGTATGTTTGTTGTGTGTGCGTTTCTGTCTGTCTGTCGTCCTGGTGTCTTTTGTTTGGTTTGTTGTTTTGTGTTGTGTGCGTGCTGCGTGTGTGTGTTGTGCTAATAAAATGAATTTCTTGTGGGACCTGCATTTCATTGATGGCCTATGAATTTGAAAGAAGTAAAAAAATAATAACAAACAAAAAATTGTAAAAAAGACGATGCCTGTTAAAAAGGTCACATATTATGTAAAGTAAAATTAAAAAACACATTTACTTATTTGAAAAAATCCTTCTTTAGTTGTTGCCAGTTTAGTGTTCAACTGTCAATTGGCGTTTCGTACTTGTAACAAATACTAAGATAAACTTCACATGCTCTTAGATTTTTCACCTAGTTTTGAAAAAATAAAAATAAAAATAAAAGAAACTAATAAATTTGCGTTATCACCATAAAATCGTAAACAACGTCAAGCGACGAAGAAAAGTTCTCAACCTCTATATCAAACCGAGCATTGGAAACATGTAGTAATATAACATAAACCGTAGATTAATGCATAATGCAACAGTGTTGAGATTCCGAGGCACTTTCTCTGCATTAGCTTGCCAGCAGTTAACATTAATGCTTCTTGTCCTGTTTCGGGCAGCGCTGCTCACATCACAGGCGCACTTGGAGCGGTGGTTCAATAAAAATCAGCTAAATAAATAGCGCATCTATTTACTATCCTAAATCTTAATGTTTCTCCCTATTCTCTTCGCCTATTAATTGCCGACAATTTCTGTAATGCTTTGGCAAACGTGCTCCTGCTGGCAACACACAATGTACACACCGGTCGCGCACAAACAGAGAGCTGACAACATGTAACGTGGTGGCGGCAAGCCGTGCGCGTGTGACATGTGGTTGCAGAGGAGCATTTGCTGGGCATTTACAGGAAATTGTCGGCAATAATAACGAAAGAAGATTACATTAAACCTTTGCACATAAATAGATTTCGATATTATTAGCATTATATTTTATTGAAACGCTCCAAGGCCTGTGTTCACATACCACTTAAGCGTCTGCTGCTGCAATTTTAGTCGAACCCTGTTCTCAGCCACCCCACTCTTGACTTGTTCGCTGCTCACTGCACGTACTAGGGATGAAGCATCGGCGATGCTTGAAAGAGGACGGTCGTCTAAGCGAATTGTCGTGTTTTGTAGCCAGTTCGCTAGAATTCAGAATGCACACATTGCCCCGTCTGCCGATGCCCGAATGTACACCGGGATCATTGCCAAGCCGTCCCCACGCCACCCACACCCAACAGCCCCACACTGTTGCATGCCCACCCGATCAGTGGACAAACATGCTAAGTTGTAACCAGTGTTTAATCCCCAGCTGTTGGGATTCAGAACGCGATTGAAGATGTTAATGGTGTGTAGTGAGTGTTGAGTGTATTTTGGGGGTGTGTGTGTGTTTGATCCGCGTGGTGCGTTGCCGTGTGCGTGTGCGTGTGCGTGGCGTGTGCGTGTGGCGTGTGCGATGAGCGTGTGCGTTGCGTCTGTGTGTTTATAACCCTAACCCTAACCCTAACTCTAACCCTAACCCTAATCCTAACCCTAACCCTAACCCTAATCCTAACCCTAACCCTAACCCTAATCCTAACACTATCCCAACACTAGTGCTGCCACATTGCGGTCACCTCCCTCCACGCCCGTGGGATAGCATTACCCGAGAGGGAGAGAGAGAGAGAGAGAGAGAGAGAGAGAGAGCGAAAGTGTGTGTCCGTGTGCAAGTCACAAGGAACGGTATAACCATGGCTGCGAACTTTGAACGTGCGCCGTATCCAGTTATGTCGTGACGCGTTACACTTACATGTGTTGACGTAGGTCGTAAATATGTATGCGCACGACCACGTAAGGAAAACTCAAGAAACTGTTACCGAACCACTAACATAATAATGCAGTTATTTATATTTTAGTTTTAAATGTATGACAAATCCACACATGTCTGCTATATTATAAATAGCAGGCAGGTTAAATGTCATTTTGTATCGTTGTACTGCTCGTATTCAATCAATAATATTAAATAGGTTCATTTTTCTTTTATTGGTGGTCAGAGTAACTTTGTGCATGTAAATAGAACCTGGTATGAATGGACCTTCTTTTTTTGGAGATTTAATAATTGTAAATTTGAGCACTAACTGAGTACCTGCTGGGGGGGGGGGTCACCGAAAATCAATGTCGTAAATATAGCAAAGTCAGCCAAAATTATAAAATGGCACAGCCACTTTCGCCAGAAATGAGAGTTGGTATGTATATACCAAAAGAATCAGTCGTTAATGATTACTTTTATTGTTTTAAGCATCCGTTATCAATGTGGTATTCCTCCCGTTCACTATACCATCACCCACAGCCATAGTTGGTGCAATGTCATTTCTGATGGAATCCCAAATGATATACATGTAAACTAAACGTGTATTTAGATGCGTAACTACGTACACTCGCTATTACTCAACCAGATAGATCAGTATTCGCTCTGCGAGATTTTGTCGTGCCTTTAACACTTCTTTGTGGAGTTTAATGTTTAAGTACATAATTCACTTGTGTAACTCTAATCACTAATCTGAGATCATCTGTGAATCAGTTCGGCGGATGGAGAGGTGGTAATTAAATTAAACTTTATTGGCTGCGCATTAGTTGGATGCTTAGCGGCAGGAACGGTTCCTTTCAGTTAAGAGCGGTCTGATGACAACTGACGGGAACAATGTGATGTCGCAGTACATGCATGTGGCTTGCACTGGGTAATTCTCAATTGCTATAAATAGTGTCCCTTATAATATGTAAACCATTATGCATCTAGGCATCTCTATATCGGCGATGTAAACCCCTACATGTATTGGCATGTTTAAATGTCATTACTGTACTTCAGCCCGGGCACTAATTAAGTGTCGAATAACGCTGAAGTCGTTAAATTTATAACATTTAATACCGCGTAGGCTTAAATACAGGCATTGGATATTATATGGTGGTTTAATTAATATTATAATATTGTGTTAACACATTGTCTCTTACAAACATTGGATCACTGTTTTGGCAGTGCTGATCAATATAAGATTTTGCTGTAGCTAGATCAAAAGTGGTTTCACTTTTTCTGCCGTAGTACATTGCTGGTGCAAGCTATTTAACATAATGCTGTTAAGTCTATAGCACGTATGAATAAAAAAAAAGTATACGTCAACCACTGTACATCAGTCATCTGTGTGTGCTCATGTAGTCACGAGAAACTGACTTGGCAGCAAATTTCCAATAAGATAAATTATCAGAATAAATACAATTAAACGGTAAATTAAATCGGTAAAAATGTGCAACCTTAGATTATCTATGAAGATCCCAGAGCACCTACAATGTACTCATAAAAAAATATATTTAATTTATTTGGTTTGCGCCTTTGCGGTAATTGTACTTTTATAGGACAGGAGTTGTCATTTTTTCATACGAAAATATGTTTTTAAATCTGCGGGCATATGGCAAATGTAGCTAGACCTGGGTGTAATTATTTGGCAATGATTGATACTATCGTAAATGCAAAAAATCGTTTCTGTGTCTTTACTCACAACTGTCTTTGAACAGTTGGCAATTGTTAGAAATAAACAATCTATTATTTACTCATGATACTATAGACTCATGACTCTTTATTTTGGTCGTAACAAATGTGACCAAATAATCGTTACCGCTGTGATTCATTTACATCGTGCGCGTATCAAGTACGCATCTGTATAAAATCTGATATCAGATGCGGTTCTTGTTATCGTGTGATAAACGAGGCTGTTATATGTTATGAGTTGCATTTCGGCGCTGCCTGCTAAAATGATATGCTTCTGTGCAATGCTAATACTGATGGCACTATTCGCCAGCACTTACACTGGTGATCAGTCATGCCTAGCTGCCAGCAAGGTGATGAAGCAGTTATTTTCATCGCATCTGTTGCGTAATAACTACCTGCAGACTGCCGACACCTTTATTAATCAACGCTGCGCAGCACAGTAGACTTTTATCGATTGAAAAGGTTACTAGTCCAAGGGCGCGAGGGCATTATTACAATTATGAATGTCCCAGCTACGAACGTGTCATCCCGTGCTATTGTCACCGTGGATTTTAGCTGATAATGTGTTCTACTTTTTGTGGAAAATGAATCGTATATCGTTCTATTGTAAAGTCCGTGTGCACATTTTGTTGGGTGTTTTTGGTGGATAATCACTCACTTGTTGTTTCATTGTAGAATCCTAATGTGCCGAGTCCAGGGTTGGCACCTATGGGCCCCAATGATGGCATGCCTGGAGGACCAATGCCCCCTGGTTTCTTTCCTGTAAGTATTACTTGCATGATCACTGGTGATCACGCGGACTCCTCGCATATACGGCTCCGCACGTGCTGCACTGCCGCAGTACCGACGCGGAGAACAACCCTTCTTCCCATGCACACGCACACACACACACACACTTGAAAACATGTCACACGTACCAAAATCCGCTATACTCATCAATCTCATTTGAGCGATTGTTCCGATTAGTTACATTAACGTATTCCTCAGCCCTGAGCGTTTCCTTACGAATATAGAGATGCGCACAACAATGATGTAGTTAACATGTGGAGGTGGGGGGGGGGAAGGCATAAATTTGTTGTGCAGCGTTAGTGCGCATGTGATAAGATATTGTCGCACGTTGTTGAGGTGTGTGAAGCTCCAGTGGTTGGTTGAGCACCCCCTTTGCTAGCTATTTCATTAAATGACGCATGTCATCATCAGTAACAGACGAGCAGTTAAACAAATGTAGGACCGTGTTAAAATTGCTTCATTGGACCTGCTTCACAACGCGAGACGCTCTCACGCAGCGATGTCAGCGTTATAGATGACACTCGGGTGTTCACCCAACGCTCACCCCGGTTCCTCTTCTATCTTCTAAACCAAACAAATACTACATGAACGCATATCCATCCACCACACATCTGCTGGCCACTGGATTGATTCTGTTGTGTGACCTTGACCATTCAGTATATTTCTATTCTCCATAACCAGTTCACCCACCGAACGCGCGCGCGGGCACGCACACACGCACGCACGCACACACGCACGCACGCACGCGCACGCACGCACGCACGCACGCACGCACGCACGCACGCACACACACACACACACACAGCCACGCACGCACGCACGCACGTTCACACATACACAC